GGGGGGACATGGGGACCCTGGGGACACTGGGGGGACATGGGGACCCTGGGGACACTGGGGGGACACGGGACATCAGGGGGACATTGGGGGCATCGGGGGAACACGGCCCCCACCGTGGCCACCGCCATGGCCACCAGGACAAGGGAGGTGGCCACCAGGATGGAGGGAAAGGCCACCACAGGGAGCTGGGTCTGGGGACACGGAGGGGACGGGGGGTGACAATGAGGACAGGGGAGGTGGCCCAGGTGACAGGAGGTGACAGTGAGACCACGGGGATGACCCAGGTGACAGGGGGTGACCCAGGTGACAGGGGGTGACAGTGAGACCACGGGGGGACTCGGGTGACAGGAAGGTGAGAGTGAAGACAGAAAGGTGACCAGGTGAGAGAGGGGTGACAGTGGGTGACCCAGGTGACAGAAGGTGACAGGAGGTGACAGGAGGTGACAGGGGGTGACAAGAGGGTGACCGCGGTGACAGGAGGTGCCAGGAGATGACAGGAGGTGACCCAGATGACCCAGGTGACAGTGGGTGACCCAGGTGACAAGGGGGTGACCCAGGTGACAGGAGGTGACCTGGGTGCCAGGAGGTGCCAGGATGTGACCCGGGTGACAGAGGGGTCAAAGTGGGTGACCCAGATGACCCAGGTGACAGGGAGGTGCCAGGAGGTGCCAGGAGATGACCCGGGTGACAGAGGGGTCACAGTGGGTGCCCGCAGTGCCAGGATGTGACCCGGGTGACAGAGGGGTGACAGGGGGTGACCCAGGTGACAGGATGTGACCCGGGTGCCAGGGGGTGACTGCGGTGCCAGGAGGTGCCAGGAGATGACCTGGGTGCCAGGGGGTGACTGCGGTGCCAGGAGGTGCCAGGATGTGACCTGGGTGACAGAGAGGTGACAGGGGGTAACCCAGATGACCCAGGTGCCAGGAGGTGCCAGGAGGTGCCAGGATGTGACCCGGGTGACAGAGAGGTGCCAGGAGGTGCCAGGAGGTGCCAGGATGTGACCCGGGTGACAGAGGGGTGCCAGGAGGTGCCAGGA